GGCGACGTGTACGACGAGTTCAGCCAGCTGTTCCTTCAGATTGTGGCGCAGAGCACTGAGGAGCCCGCCCTCCTGCCCAAGTTTACCCAAATCCCGACCCTCCGCCGCCAAGAGGCGGCCACGGATTGCACCTACGCCGCCTTTTTCATTCGCATCTGGTGCGGCCCCTACCCCACGCTGGCTCGTGCTGCTGCTCTGGACGCCGTCAAGCAGGGCTTCCAAGCCGGCAACGCCGCCGACACCGACTTCCAGGCCATCATTCCCTTTTGTCTCGTGGCCCTCCTCGACTCGTCGAGAAAGGTGCGCCGCGCCGCTGCTGATCTCCTCATCCAGGTCAAGGCCATGTCCCCCACCACCCCCGTTAAGGGCAAGAAGCCGCAGGCCTGGGGAGGCAACGGCCTCTACCCGGACGGTATCAAGATTCAGGCCATGGAGCCCGAAGTCGTCTCGAAGTTGCTCGATGACGTCCTGCTGCCGAGCCTTGAGGAGTGCATCATGCACGAGGACTTCATCAGCACCCTACTCCACGCCAGCCTCGACAGCAGCGCCAAGAAGACCGACGACAAGAAGGCCCTTTCCCAGTCGACGAGGCAGTCCATCTTCGCGTCCCTCGCGAGCCACCTTGTCGCGTCGCCCCTGCTCAGGGTCAAGTCCAGCCTTCTCGCGCTGCTCAACCAGATCAAGAGCGTGTCGTCCGTGTCGAGGACCAAGGTCTTGCTGCCGGCGTTCCGCTGGTGGGCCGCCCTCACCGCCGAGGAGGCGACGGTGCTGTGCCAGAACGAGCAGGTCGACCCGTTTGCGCTCCACCAGCGGTTTGCCGAGACGGTGGTGGCCAACGACCAGAGCGGCCTCGAATTCCTGCTGTCCATCATCCAGGACCCGGCCTCCGAGCGCCGCCCGGAGCTGGTGCGTTCGAGCTTTGCCCGCCTGCGCGCCATGTGGGCCGCCATGAAGTCGGACACCAAGTCGGACGTCTCGCGTACCATGCTCGACATTTACCAGAACCGTCGTAACACAGGCGACGAGCAGCAGCAGAGTGTGGTCGCCGACGAGGCGGCCGATCTCCTCAAGAACGTTGACCTGACGACGGACATTCTCGCGCACTCGCTGTCCGCCATTCAGGCCCAGACGCGCGCCGTCACCGAGGCGCCACCGAACAAGCGCCGCCGGACCAGCACCGAGGCGAATCGTGGCTCGCAAGTCTACACGCCGGCCGAGCTCAACAAGACGCTGCGCGACGTCACCTTTGTTCTGCAGCTCGTCGAGGGCTCCGACCCCAAGGCGCACCCCGAGCTGCTGCACAGCCTCTTCGACACGCTCTCGGAGCTGCAGCGGTTCGGTGTCGTCGTCGGCTCCGAGCTGGGCTACCTGCAGAACCTCGTGCTCACGAGCCTCATCGCCATGGTGCCTGCTTACAAGACGGACAAGAAGCTCAAGATTGACAGCTCGGGCGGCCACGGCGACCTCTTGGCCAACTGCCTCCAAAAGTCCACGAGCCCCATTGTGCAAAACTCGGCCCTGCTCCTCATCGCCAGCCTGGCGACGGCGGCGCCCGACGTCGTTCTGCACAGCATCATGCCCATCTTCACCTTTATGGGTGCCTCGGTCCTGCGCCAGAACGACGACTACTCGGCCCATGTCGTCAACCAGACGATCAAGGAGGTTGTGCCACCGCTCATGGAGTCGCTGAAGAAGGGCAAGAGGAACCCCATCGCCGGCGCGACGGAGCTCCTCGTCAGCTTTGTCACGGCCTACGAGCACATTCCCTCGCACCGCAAGCAGGATCTCTTTGTCTCGCTCGTCGACACGCTCGGCCCCGAGGAGTTCCTGTTCGCGCTCCTCGCCATGCTCGTCGACAAGTACGGCTCCGGCCCGAGCATCGCGTCCTTCGCCGCCGACCTGCTGGCCGTCTACAATGCCGAGGTGCAGCTGCACACGCTCGCCAAGCTCCTCGATCTCATCAGCGACATCTTCAAGCCGCGACCGGCGCTGTCGGCTACGCTCCTGGGCGTCGGCGACGAGCTGGCCGAGCGAGACGTCAACACGGTGGCTCTCCAGCAGCTCTCCGTGTTCCCCTCACTCCTGTCGGGCCGCAAGCTGCGCAAGGAGATTGGCATTCTGACGGAGCGTGACGACATGGAGACGTCCAAAATGCGCGAGCTGTACGCCACGCTGCTCAAGGACACGCTGGCGCTGGCCGAGACTGTCAAGCCCACGCGGGCACTGCATGAGTGCTGCGGCTCGGCGCTGGCGAACCTGCTCAACCTCTTGTCAATTGGCGAGTTCATCAAGGCTGTGGAGAACCTCATGGACAAGACGGAGATTGACCTGCGACGCAAGGTGCTGCGGGCGCTCGAGGTGCGCGTCGAGCAGGAGGGCACGGCGGACGCGACATCACGGGCGGCGCTGCTGGGCTTCCTGCCGCAGCTGACGGCGGCCATTCGCGACACGGACGATCTCAAGTACAAGCACACGGCGGTGGCGTGCGTGGACAAGATTGCGGAGAAGTACGGCAAGAAGGACCTCGAGGCGGTGGCGGCGGCGGCAGCGACCATTGCCGGGCCCTCGTGCCTCGGCCAGCCCGACACGCAACTGCGCGTTATGACGCTACTCTGCCTGGCGTCCCTCGTGGACGTGCTCCAGGACGGCATCCTGCCGGTGCTCGCGCTGGCGGTTCCGCAGGCGATTCTGTATATCCGCCAGAGCCTCGAGGCGGAGGATGGCGACGACCAGAGCAGCGACCTGCACAACGCGGGCTACTCGTTCATCACGGCGCTGGCACAGCACCTGCCGTACATGGTGACGGGGGCCTATCTCGACCAAGTGCTCCTGGCGTCCAACGCGTCAGCGGAAGCGGACCTCGACGACGACGCCAGCGACAGCCGGCTCAACTGCGTCCGCTTCCTGGCGCGCAAGGTGGAGCCCAAGGTTTTCTTCGCGGGTCTCGAGCGCAACTGGGAGGCGGCGGTCGCAGCTGGAAACGAGGTACGTCACTTTCGCGGTGCAGCAAATGTCACATTATGGGAAGCTAACAGAGGGCAGGCCATCAGCGAATACGTCGACGTGCTGGGCGTGGCTGTCGAGAGCCACCCGAAGTCGGTGATCGCCAAGAACGTCACGGTGCTCTCGACGATTCTCCTCAAGACGCTCGACCTCCGGCGACAGCAGCTGGCCAAGGAAACGGCGACACAGAGCCAGCTCGAGGCGCTCTCAACATTGGAGGATGCCATCAACGACGTGGCAATCAAGATGGTGTACAAGCTCAACGACGCGGCGTTCCGACCCATCTTCACGCAGGTGATGGAGTGGTCGGGCCAGGTGAGCAAGTCGGACAAGGCAGGACGCACGAGGCGGCGACACAGCGTGTACGGGTTCCTGCAGGTCTTCTTCGAGAAGCTGCGTTCGATCGTGACGAGCTACTCGACGTACATTGTCGAGGACGCCGTGGCGATTCTGCAGGGCGCGGATTTGGCGGACGCCGAGCAGAGGCAGCTGTGGTCGCGTGTGCTCGGCACGCTGGCTCAGTCGTTCGAGCACGACCAGGACGACTTTTGGCAGGCGCCGGCGCACTTTGGCGGCGTCGCGGGGGTGCTCACGGGCCAGCTCACGCGGGCCGGCGGTTCCGACAAGCTGGATGTCGGGGCACACCTCATCCCGGCCCTCATCGAGCTCGCGAGCGCGGCGGACTCGGCGGACCACCAGAAGGAGCTCAACACGGCGGTGCTCAAGCACCTGCGGGACGAGCGCGCCGGCGTCAGGCTGGCGGCGGTCAAGTGCCAGCAGGCGCTCACGGACAAGCTGGGCGAGGAGTGGCTGTCGGCGCTGCCGGAGATGCTGCCTTACATCAGCGAGCTCCAGGACGACGACGATGAGGCCGTGGAGAGGGAGACGCACCGGTGGATCGTCAAGATTGAGGGTGTGCTGGGTGAGAGTCTCGACTCGATGCTGCAGTAAGGAGAGGAGGAGAAGAAGAAGAAGAAGAGGAAGCAGACGAGGAAGTAGAAGGCGAACAAGAAGAGGAAGAGGAAGCGGGAGAGGAAGCGGGAGAGGCGCATGTACGTACGAGTACGAGTATCTATGACAGAAGGAGGACGGGATGTGCCATGGCCGTCTGCCTACCTTGCTATTGGAATGCATTTACTTTGGAGTTCATCGCTGCTTCGTCTGTCTGCTATGAACGACTTGTCAGCCTGACTTGGCTGACTGTCTGATGGATCGTCACCAGGAAGCTCGCCGGTGAGATATCTCTCTCTCTATTTCTTTTGCGCCTCCTTTGATTCATGAACAGACTTGGGTCGGTGTTGCCGCCTTGATCAACAGCAGCCATCGCCTTGCCTCCTGTCGTTGGCAACTGCCCGTCTTGGGCACCTGCTGCTTCCACACGATCTGCAAGGTCAGGAAGGAGTTCCCGGGTTGCGCCTGGACCCTTTGACGGTCCGTGCTTCCGGATCCGGCACCTGCAAAATGCGCCCCGACACACCGGCGGTCGTTCCTCCCCCTGTCGTCATCGGCCGTCAATTGTCAAGAGCGACCTCTGCCACGGCAATTCTGTGATGGTGATCAGAACATGACTCCCCTCACCCCTCAGAATACCATCCCACATATCATCAAGAGACAATGCACATCCATCATCACGAGGTCGAAACTCCACGAGAGACGACCAGGGGAAAATCCTTCCCTGCTGACGCACAGCCTGCCATCCCGGCCCATTATCGTGGCATCCGACAAGCACCGCTTCGGGGCCTTGGCCGGACCCCGCGTGCCCCGGGGGCATTACTCATTGCATCCACCAAGCTCTCCCTAGGCCCCGAGAGGTATGGCTGTGACTCGGTCTGGCCCGCCCATGACATCAAGTGCCAGGGCACCTGGAAAAGAAAAAAAGCATGAGGTCCGGTTCAGATGGCCTCAGTTTTGTACTATGAAAGAGCCTCATCGCCCTGCCTTCCATTGCACCCCCTTCTACAGACCCATCAGTGCGACATACAGCCGGAACAATCACCATGGCCTCGTCTCAGGCAGCCCGGAGCTACTGGAAGAGCGTCGGTCGTTCTCACCTGCGGCGTGACGCTCTGGCCCTGGCCTCGACGACAAACTCAACATCGATAGCTCTTTCATCATCGCCCAAGGCGAGTCCATCCACGCTGCGGCATGCCACGACAGACTCCGCACGACCGAGGGAAAAGGTTGTCATACTAGGTTCTGGGTGGGCAGGCTATGCCCTCGCTCGAGCCCTCGATCCTGCCAAGTACGAGCGCATCATCGTCTCGCCTCGCTCTCATTTCGTATTCACACCTCTCCTGGCCTCAACGTCTGTCGGCACCCTCGAGTTTCGGTCCATCCTCGAGCCCGTTCGTCGTCTCAAGCCTGATGCCTTCCACCAGGGATGGGCCGACGACATTGACTTTGCCCACAAGACACTCAAGGTCGAGACCAATGTCGATGCCGATGAGCTCTCCTCTCGCACCCTGCCGCCACCGTCCTCTTCATCCTCTCCTTCTGGCACGTCCCCTTCCGAGGTCACGATAGCCGCTTCCACTCCAACCATGACGGCCTCTGTCACGAAGCGCAAAGGGGAAATCATCACCATTCCCTACGACAAACTCGTCGTCGCCGTAGGCTCCTACTCCCAGACCTTTGGCATCCCCGGCGTGCGCGAGCACGCCAACTTCCTGCGCGATGTCGGCGACGCTCGCTCCATCCGTCTGCGCGTCCTCCAGTGCTTCGAGCGCGCCGCTCTGCCCACCGCCACGGCCGAGCAGCGCCGTGCGCTTCTTCACTTTGCCGTCGTCGGCGGAGGTCCCACGGGCATAGAATTCGCCGCCGAGCTGCACGACCTCATCTACGAGGACCTCGCCCGCCTCTACCCCCAGTTGATGCCCTCGGTGGCCATTACCGTCTATGACATTGCCCCCAAGGTGCTGCCCATGTTCGACAAGCAGCTTGCCTCGTATGCCATTGACTTGTTCAAGCGCCAGGGCATCCGTGTCAAGACGGAACACCACCTCACGCAGATTCGCCAGGATGACCAGTCCCCGCACGGCGCTCTCAAACTCTCGATTCAGGAAGAGCCCGGCGCCGAGATCGGCGCCGGCCTTGTTGTCTGGAGCACCGGCCTCATGCCTAATCCGCTCGTACAGAAAATGGTTGCGCGTGAGCTGCGGCTTCCGGGGTCAGGCGACAACAGCACGCCCGAAACGTTTCATCTCCAGACGGGGCGCTCCGGCGGCCTCCTCACGGATGATCACCTCCGCCTGCGTCTCGATCAAGGCGACCGCACCCTGCCCGATGTCTTTGCCATGGGCGACTGCGCCGTGATGGACCGCGAGGCCCTGCCCGCCACGGCCCAGGTCGCCTCCCAGCAGGCCGTGTACCTCGCCCGCACCCTCAACCGCCACGGCGACGACGTCTCGCGCGCGAAGCCTTTTGCGTGGCGCAACCTCGGCACCATGGCCTATCTTGGCAGCTGGCGTGCTATCCACCAGAGCTCAGCCGACGGGCTCCGGGGGAGGTTGGCTTGGGTGCTCTGGAGAGGCGCGTATCTGACGATGAGCATGAGCGTAAGGAACAAGATCATGGTGCCGGTGCACTGGTTCATGACGTGGGTGTTTGGGCGGGACATTTCGCGATTCTAGGACGAGGTGCCTTGTCAATCGCGAAAAGAAGGCGAAAAAAAGAGAGACAGATGGAGTACAGAGTACAGAGAGAGGGGCAAAGCGATTTTGTATCGAGTAGAGCATAGAAGGGTTGGCCCAGGCGTTGGTTGATATGGACGGACATTTGTAACAAGACTTGTAACATGTATATTTTCTAGAAGAACAAAACTCCGCCTGCTATACCATAACGCCTCCCATGCATGTCTCTATCTATCTGTCGATCTATCTATATACCCTACGCGCATCACGCGTTGACCTCGGCAAACCACGTTCTCAGCAGGCCGGCCAGCGCGTTCGGCAGCTCCTCGAGGTTGTGCACAATGAGGTAGTACTGGAAGGGGAACGTGTCGAGGTAGCGCTCAATGACGACCTTGCTGTTGCCCATTTCGTCCTTGACGAACTTGGCCTCCTTGAGGTCGAGGACGCTGTCGCCGTCCTTGTGGCTCGTGTCGTCCATGACGATGAAGACGATCATGATCCTCTCCTCCATGGCCTCGCGCAGCAGGCGGCGGATGGCATCGTGGGCCGACGACGGCGTCAGGCCGTCGGACAGCACGAGGGCCAGCTGCCAGAGGTCCTCGGCGCCGCGGGCCGGGTTGCGGGCGCGCGCGTCGCGGAAGCGGTCAATGGTGCGGCGCACGAGCATGGCAACGTCGGTGCGGTCCTGGTCGAAGCCGAAGCGCTGCAGGACGCGGGCGCCGGCGTCGTGCGAGGCGAAGGGCTCGTCGAGGGCGTGGGCGCCGAAGACGTCGGCGCCGAAGCCCAGCACGCCGACCTGGCCGACCTCGAGCATGGTCAGCGCGCGCGACACCATGACAAGCGACTCGAGCGCCAGCGCGCCGGCCGCCGTCTCGCCCATGCTGCGGCTGTCGTCGACGCAGAGCAATATCTGGTACGACCGCTTCGTCGGCACGGCGCGCCGCATCCAGATCTTGTCGCGCTTGTAGCTCGACGCGATGTACGGGATGATCTTCTTGATGTTGAGCCGCTTGCCCGTGCGGAACGAGCCCGAGAGCTTGGTCGACTGCGACGGGTTGAGGATGAGCCGCAGCTGCGACGTCAGCGACAGCGACAGCGCGTTCGTCTTGGTCTGGAAGCCCGTCCACAGCTGCATCGCCTCGTCAAAGTCGCGCAGCGGTCGCTCGGGCTCGCCCGTGAGGTGCGTCTCGGAGAGCTGCGCCGACGCCTCGTCGACGTTGTTGTCTTCGTGCTCGTCCTCGTCCGCGTCCATCTGGGCGGCGTCGGCGTCTTCGGGCGTCGCCTCGCGGTCGAAGGCGCCCTGTCGTGTCTTGACCCCGGACCGCCCGTCGTCCCGTTCTGGGCCGTCCTTCTTGTCCTCGGGCTCGTCCGTGTCCATCTGGTCGCCGGCCGCCTCGTCTTGCTGCTCGGGCTCTTGCTCGCTCTCCGGCATCACCCGGCTCGCCGGGTCTTCTTTTTCCTCGTCAATCGCCATGGCGTCGTCGATGGGCTGGACCTGGTCGTCCGAGGCCGCACCGAGCGCTTGGGCGTCCGGCGCCGTCTCGTCGTCCTGCATGTGCTGGAACTCCTTGGCTGCCATGTCGTCGGCGTCTTGCTGGGGCTGCTTGGCCTCGCCCTCCTCTTCCTTCTGCTCCGCCTCCTTGATCTCCGTCTGCTGTCGGTGCCATCGCTCGAGCGCGTCGCCGAGCTTCTTGAACGGATCCTGGCGGGGCTCCTCGCGCGCTGCCTCGTCCTCCTGCTGCTCGGTGGGCTGCGCCTGGTCGTCCGAGCGCGAGACGGCGCCCTTCTTGCCGGCGTCGGCCTCTTGCTTGGCGGCGCCCTCGCCGGCGTCCCCCTCGTCGCGCTGCGCTGCGCTGTCGTCGGGCTCGTTTTCGACGTCCATGCTGTCGGCGTTTTGATCTTGGCCGCCGCTCTTGACGTCGCTCGGCGCCGCGTTCTCCGTATCGGCGTTGGCCGTGTCCTGGTCGGCATCCTGCCGCTTGTCTTCCGGCTCGTCGGGCTGTTCGGGCTCGGCGTCGGGATCCTCGCCATCCTGCTCCTCTTCGGCCTTGGGTTCGTCGTCAATCTCGTTGCCGCCCATGTCCATTTCTTCCTCGGGCATCTCGTCTGCCTGTTCGGGGTCTTGGCCACGTTCGGGCTGCTGGTCGTCTTCCACGTCCGATTCGTGCTTCTCCGGCAGGTCAGGCAGATCGTCCTTTGGCTCGCCCGAGTCAGACATGTCGTCGAGGTCGTCGTCGTCCGATCCAGACTCCTCGTCCTTGAGGTCAAGCTCCATGTCATCGGGGAGCGCCAGGGCGTCCTCCTGCTGGACGTTTTGGTCCTGCTTGATGTCCTCCTGGAACTGAACGTCCTCCTGCTCGGCGGCAGGGTCGTCGTCCTCGCCCTCGTCGCCCTGCTCGTCGCCGGGCTCCTCCATCTCGCCGCTCTCGTCGTTGGGCTGCGCATCCGCCGCCGCCGTCTGCTCGTCCTTCTGCTGGCCCTTGGCCTTCTCGCCCTGCTGCTCCTTCTCCGCCTCGTCTTCGTTTTCGCCGTCCCACATCTTCTCGTCCACCGCCGTCGGGTCGAGATCGTCGACCTCGCCCGCTTCCTCCTCCATGTCATTGTCTTCGCCGTCGTCGTCTCCGTCGTTCTTGTCATCGCCGTTCTCCTCGTCTTCGGCACCGTCGACGCTGCCCATGTCACCTTCCATGTCCTCGTCCGCCATGTCGACGGCATCCTTCTCATCCTCCATCTCGCTGTTGCGCTCCTTGTTCGGCTCCTGCGCGAGCTCAGACAGGTCCTCGTCGGGCTGGATATCCTTGCTGATATCCTCGGCGCCCTCGCCGTCGCCGAGACCGGTGCCCGACTCGAGCTTGCCCGCGTCGCCCTGCGTCTCGTCCGACTTCTCCTGCGGCGTGCAGAAGCCCTTGGCCGTGAGCTGCGAGAACGTGAGGCCGAGAAAGTGCGTCATGCGGCCCGTGGCGTCGTGCAGGTCGCGCAGCTGCGCCACGCTCTGCTGGCACGTCGCAGCGTACTGGTCGAGGATCGGGAGCACGGCGCCGAGCATCGACGTCGCCGCCGACCGCAGCGCCGGCGCGTCGAGGTCGAGCCGCGCCAGGGCGGACAGGCAGCGCCGGATGGCGTCGGTGACGCCGTTCATGTGCAGGCCCTTGAGCATGGCGGCCGAGGCGGCGCTCGCGTCGACGAGCCAGGCGGCGCCGTCGCTGGTGGTGGGCAGCTCGGTCGCGGCCTTCTTGTGCACCTGCATGGCGACGAGCACCGAGTTGCAGACGTTGGAGACTTCGGCGCTGAAGCTGTCGAGGCTTGGGCGGGGTTCGAGCGCGTCGTTGCCGTCGTCGTAGTCCTGGCGCGAGACGGCTGTCCAGGCCTTGATCTGCTGAAGCACAAAGGCCAGGTTGGGGTGGGCGGAAGCCATGCTGTCCAGCTCCTTGCCGAGCGCCTGGAGGCTCAGCTGTGATTCTTCGTCAATGGCCTTTTGTTCCGAGGTCTGGAGCCTCTCGGGGATCGTCGACGACGTGTCGCGCTTTGTCAGGCTCGCAGCAAATCCGTCCAGTCGGTTCTGGAGGGTCTGGACGACTTGGGAGTGATCGGTGGTCGCGAGCTTGCCGTGAACCTCGACGAGCTGGACACCAAATCGGAGGACCGGCACGATCCAGTCGACCGCCTTCAGCAGGTTCGACGATTGTCTTTGAACCGTGAGAGACTTGTCTCCCCAGTACGTGCTCAGCTGGCGGACCGAGCCGATGGCCTCGCTGAGCGGACCGACAGAGGTGCTGGCCGGCACGAGGGATGCCCTTTGCTGTAGAAGCAGCTGCACGAAGCCCTCCATGAAACCAACGCTGCGCGTGACCTCAGCGCCCGTGAGCTCGCTGTGGTGGTCAAGGCCAGCCGGCCTGACCTTGGCCGCGATGTCAATGGCCTTCTGGAAGTAGTACTCGGCGGCGTCCTGGCCCTCGCTCTCGCAAACATAGGCGCGCGTGCTGCCGAGAACGGTGGCCGTCGTCTTTTGCCTGTTGAGATCCTCGGTGCCGAGGTTGTGCCTGACACCCATCTTGCGCATGGCCTTGAGAACATCGGCAAACAGGTTACGCTTGCGCGTCTTGAGGTGCTTGACCTGGTCCTTGTTCTCGTCGTTGAGGAACTGCGGCGTCTCCTTGCGTAGTTCGGCAATCGAGGCCTTGAGCGACTCGACGAAGGCAACGGCTTCTTGGCTGGCGGCCGTTGTGCCTGAGCTGTACTTGGTGACGTTGGCCATGACCGACAGCGTCGTGTCAATGTTGATCAGTCGCTTGTTCTGCTTCAGCCACTGGGGCGCGACCTTCTTGCACCGCGTCAGCGCCTTCTTGTCCACGCTCGGGGTGATGATGATCGAAGCGGCGCCGCTGTCAGTGACGGGCTCCTTGTCTGGCAGACCCTGCTCGATGACGGGGGCAGCTGGCTGGCCGAGCACGGAACGGAACTTGCGGACGAGCCTGAATAGGCTGCGGTGAGACTTGCGGGCGCTCTCACGGAGTGCGTTGATGTTGGTGTCTTTCCAGCTCGCCATCAACACGGTGTTCTTGACGTTCTTCTCAATCGGAGTCCTGCCGCGGCCAATGGCCTCGTCGATGACGGCCTCGAACCGGGAGTAGAATGTGATAAAATTCTGCGTCGCGTCACGAACAACGGCGAGAGAGGGATAGTCAACGGTCAGTAGCTCGAGGTGCTTCTGCATCTGGCGCAGAAGCGCCAGGCGCCCGCTGAATTGTCCGACGATGGAAGTCGAGAAGTAGTTGCCCAGCTCCTTGACCAAGCTGACGGCGTACTCTTGCAGCTCGTCGGCCTTGTCTACGAGAGTGAGCGGCACCGCAATCACCACCTGGTATGCCATGAAGAACCACGAGTTGGCGTCGTCGCGGCACTTTTGCGCTTCCAGGTCGAACAGTCTGGCCCAGGTCTTGAGCTCCTCGCGGCGCCAGCTGATGATCATGTCGGTCAGTGCCGTGTACAGAGCCGGGGCTCCGTAGATGGCTGGCGCATAACCGCCATGCTGCCACTCGTAAACAATCATGTGCAGGTGTTCGAGCTTGGGTAGGATGCTCGCGAGCGGTTCGGTATGGACGAGGCTGAGCAGCGTCTCGCATGCCGTCAAAACATCAGCGAGAGGCTGCATGAAGCCAATCTCGTCAACCTGCTGGAGCTCATGGAAGCGGAGCTCGACCTTGTTGACGAGCGAGATCAGCTGTCGAACCATGGGCAGGTTGGCGTCGGAGTAGAAGTTGTAGTTGTCAGTCTGCACGCTGACGTTCAGAGCGCTCAACTCCTCGTACAGGGACCACATGGCAGAAGGCAGCATCTTCCGGTTGAGATCCTGACCCACAGCCGCCCTCTGTGAGGCCTCGAGAGCGAGCTCGTGGCTGATGGCAGCGCATGCCTTGCGGAGGCTCTCGGACGCCTCTTCCGGCTGTGAGAATATGTTGCGGTGGAGCTCAGCCATCTTGACGGACAAGTCGCGGACTTTTTGACGCTGAACAGCCGGTTTCTTGTCTTCCTCGTCATCAAAGGTCGGGAACAACTCGTTGAACTCTTCTTCGTCTTGTTCCTCTTCGTCCTCGAAGCTGCCTCTGAATTTGTACAGGCTGGTGTTCTCCTGCTCAGTCTTGCGGTCGGCCTCGAGCTTCTTGTTCCAATCGTCAAAGAAGCCATGAATTGAACTGAACAGAGCTTGACGGCCCGGCGCATCGAGGCGTGGCAGGCCCTCGACAGACACGACGAGACCCATGTAATTGAGGAAGTTGAGGCTTCGAGTCGGTAGTGAGGTCGCGTTCGACGTAGGCAGTGTGCCTCCCAGGAAAGGAAGCATGCCCATGAAGGGGGCTGTTGGCAGCTGGTCCTGAAGAGAGTCGAGACCCCTGTTGAGGGACAATCCAAGCTGGAGGCAGTGCAGGATATTCACAGCGGGCAGAACCATATCCTGGTAAGCATCGAACCTGCTCGACAGACGATCGATCAGTTGGCCGACATTCAACCTGACCAGATCCATCTCTTCATTCAATCCAGTCGTATTTGTCAGGGTGTGGGTAACATGGGTGGAGGCTACGTCCATGTCGACCACGGACTTTAGAATGTTGTTAAAGTCCGCCTGGATACCGCCGAGTTCAGACTTGGCTGGACGGTAGAGGATCTGGCTTGCTGGCGGGGCGGCTCCGAGAGCCTCAATCTCCTCCTGTACCAGCTGGGCGCGCAGGGAGGTCTTTTGTCCGGTGAAATGTGTCTCAAACTCTACAAGAGAGGCAAGCCTGTTATCCAAGGCTGCCTTGGTGTGGCCGTGAACCTCCATCTCGTACTGAGGCCTCAGCTGTGGGTCGAAAGCCTTGTCCGGAACGTAGAGCTTGATGCATCCGACGGAGAACTGTACCCAAGCCACGGAAGAGAACGCAACCACAAGTCGATCTCCAGCCGTGTTTGCGCTGTCCATGTGGGCAGCATGCTTGTCAGAAGCAGCCAGTGCGACTATAGACGGGAGCAGGTGGTCTTTGAAGACAGTGACAAGCTGCGCAGGCCACTCCTCGGGGAATGCAACGCGAATCTTGAGCACCATGGCCTTGAGCTGTTCTGGCGTCGTGGCAGTCAGATCGGCATTGCTGTAAGCGCGGGTGAAGACGTTGTCGACAAGGGCACCCGCATCAAGGCCATGAGCAGCGATTATCTCCGAAATGAGGTGCTTGAGCGAGTTGTTCAGCGCCTGGATGGAGTTGCTGGTGATATCAGGCGCCGATCGCGCAAGTGTCCGGCCCAGGAGAGGTAGCTCAGCCTCGAGCAAGCGCAACGAGTCGAGGCTCGCATTCTTGATGGAATTAGACTTGGCAAGCAGAGAGGTAGCGAGCTTGCCGTTCCAGACATGCGTCTTTGCGTCTCGAGATGCGAGAAGACCGGTGGACAGGAGCTTCTGGGCAGAGCCCAAAGCATTGCTGAAGCGGCTCTGGTCGAAAGTGGGCAGATCCGAGGCGACAGCCAAGACCATGTGCTCAGCAGGCAAGGTGGTACCGTATGAAATGGACTGGAGGACCAAGGCTTGGCGGAGGGTCTCGTACTCCGCGGTGAAAAAGGGGCTAACTTCCCTTGACGCAGAGCTGACGCCAGCCTCCAGGGTATCGATTTCCTTCTTCAGATCCACAATGAGCTGGGACGTGAGAGACGCGTTGCTTCGTACGATCTGGTCAGCGGTGACCAGTGTCGACATGGCGCTGGCAAGATCCGAGATGGAGGTTCGGACCTTCCATCTCAAGGCATCAAACCGGATCGCGAGACGCTCGATATCACGATGCGACTCGAGAGCTTCGGCAGAGAGAATGGCGGCTGGCTTGAGAAGATTCCAGAGGGGCTCCATGCTGAGACCGGTCTTGAGCTTGAAGCCCGCGTTGAAGTCTTCTTGGATCGCTTGAAGGAAACCGGACGCGAGTGCACCATGAATCGAGCTTTCCTGCACCTGGGAGAGGGCGGCCTGAAGTGACTTGACGCCATGACCGAGATGGGCTTGGAACCTTGCCTCTTCGAAGTGTTGTTGGGTGACGAGTCCAAAAGTTCGCCACCAGAAGTCCATCATGTGCCTGATGATTCGAGATTGATCCTATTCTTGTAAGCAGCGGCACATATATCAATGGTCATGTAGATGGCATACCTTCCAGTCACCAGCATCTTTGACGCTATCCTGGAGAAACTTGAGCGCCGCTTGGAGGACCTTGTTCAGGAACTTGGACACACTGGCTGTCGAATCCTTCGCCACAGCCGCGATGCGGTCCGAAACAACAGAGCGCTGAAGACGGTTCAATGATGCAAGCTTGCCGGCCTTGGCACGCCCGACTTGGGCCTTGAGGATAGATTGGCAACGCTGAAGCTCTAGGATGAATTGGAAGCAGCAGTTCAACCAGAACGCCAGGTCACCCGAGGTCCGTTGCAGAAGGCGGGCAATGGGGGCATTCTGAAGCGTAGATAGGGGCTGGAATGGTCAGTAAAACGGACTAGCTACAGTTGAGAGCAGACGGCTTACCTGGGCATGCTGCAGTTCGCTGTGGCTGTCATTGGGCAGGGTAGCGTAAAGCTCAAGGGTAGCCTGTCTAAGCGCGGCAGCCTCGTCTGTTGTGAGGTAATTCGAAATCTCCTCGAGATTGCTGCGGTACTTCTCAAGTGCCTCAGAAGGTAGTCCCATCAGAGTCTGAGTCAAGGCGCCAGAATATCGGGGAACCAGAGACGTGTCTTGCACGGAGAGGTTATCGAGTGTCAGGCTGCCAATATCCACAAAGTTTTCGCTCTGCAGGGTTGCCGCGGAGATGTCTCTAGACATCTGCAGCCTTCGGAGGTTGCTGTCGACGTCGACACCCGTCTGGTGGGAAATCTTCATGCCATCCGGTAGCTCACTGAGGTGGATCTCAATAGCACGGTTGCGCATGGCCCGGGACAGCTCTCCATAGCGGGAGTCGACTGTCAAAAAGATTCGGAACTCGGGGTGAGGCTTGATCAGTCTTGGTTCGCCATCGGGTCCACAATGCTCGTTGATGCTGAGGAAGCCATTCGGCTCGAGCAGCGAGTTGAGTCTGTCCAGAACAGAAGCATTGCAGAGGTTTGCGTTGTCGAGCACCAACCACTGCCCAGTCTGCAGAGCCTTGACAATGACACCATCGAGCCATTCGAATCGAGGGTCGGTGGCTTCAAGTGGCTTCTGCAGGAGTTCGAAGACGTTGGTGAGGAGGGCCGCGATCTCGGTGGTGGGAGAGACCTCGGAGAGAACAGTCTGTACTGATGCTGCGATGGCCTCGAGCGCATCAAGGTTGCCTTGGTAGCCCTCAAGCGCATGGAGTAGCGACAGCGCTTCAAGAGGTACCTGTGCTGGGACTTGCGACAGAACAGAGACCTCGAGGGTCTCGTGCAATGCTCTCAGGGCAGCGTTCAGCTCGCGCAGGGGATCCGCTTGCTCGAAGCCGCCAACGAGATCCATGGTGTCGATGTCTGCGTTGAGCGGAAACACTACGAGGGACTTGCCCGCAACCGCAGCAACGTGCTGAAGAAGAGCTGATTTGCCGCTGCCCGAGGGGCCACCGACGATGCAGGGAGTATTTTGCTTGACACAGATCATCACGGACTCGATCTCGGAAAGTCGAGGTACGACGTTGATGGCGGGCAGCTTTGACGGTTGCGACAGCTGGTTGCGGGCGATGAGAGCATTTCCGACCTGGCTGAAAGCCGTGCTGATGTCATGGTATAGGCTGTGGTCGTGAGGCTGCCTACCAAAGATGCTGGCGAATAGGTTGTCCACCTCTTTGCGATCCAGATTCGACCGGAAACGCTGGCGGACGATAAGGCCGAGGAAGTCATCGACGGTGCCCGTGCTCAGCAGAGGGTCCTTCGAAGCTAGCAGGTTCAACCATCGCAGGATATCACGAAGGTTGAACTCCCAGGGGCCACCTTGCAGGCCAAAGGACTTCTCGATAACGATCTGGTGGTCCAGCTTGGTAATGAAGCGGATTACTCCGCGAGTGACATCCGAGGGAATATCTGGGAAGCTGTGACGAGCGATAAGGAGCAGATCCTCCTCCGTCAAGACGTCGGCGTAAACAACGATGAATCGATTGACAAAGGAGCTCGGCAGACCCTTTCGGCCACCACCTTGGTGATGCGGGTTCTGTGCCGCGAAGAGGCGGAAGTTGGGATGTTTGTGGAAGACCTGGTCGAGCTCGGAAATGTACACCTCACCACGATGGTCAAGACAAGCGTTGAGACCTTCCAGCACTGATTGTGAAGCAAGGTTCATCTCGTCCAGGAGAACCCACTCACCCCTTTGCATGGCTTGAAGGAATGGGGCATCCCTCCAGGCGAAGTTGCCGGCCTCGGCGCCTTCTACGGGCATGTCGGTACCGAACAGGTCCATGAGATCAGTCTGGTCAGACAAGTTGATCCTCGTCAAAGGGCGACCGCATGTGGAAGCAAGGGCGGCAACGAGGGTGGTTTTGCCAACACCGGGGCTGCCTTCCAGCAGGATGGGCTTCTGCATCTGAAGCGATCGAAGGACACGCATCAGGTTCAGACGTGTGGTAGGAGCATTGAACGCGATGGTGGGATCGATTGCTACTCCTGGTTCTCGGGCAATCTCGAACTGGCCCAGAGACAGCGTGTTGGCGTCCATCGTCACTTCAGGCTGCGACCGGTAGATTTTCGTGGCATCGCATTTGAGAAGCTCGCTCAGTTTGTTGAGACACTGTTGTCGCTGGGCTTCCATTGACTTGGGATCCATGGCCAGCAGTGCTGAAGGATTGGCTCCTAGGGTATCAACGAAAACGGTGGCGGCACCATGAACAACAGCAAAGTCAGGGTTGACGGAACCGAAGTGGTTGATAAACTTGACCCAGAGAAGAATGTCTCGAATCGAATAAGCGGCAGAGTGAGACGATCGGAAGGTCTCTCCGAACCAGGCTGAGAAGTGAACGATGGTACTGCCAAAGTTCCGCAATGTGGTGTCCAGCTTGGATCGAACGATTTGCAGGACATCCTCTCGGTCAGAAAGTGATGGGACCCAAATTTCGGTGAAACGATTCCTCAAAGCAGGGGACAGTTCCTTCTTGCCGAAATCGCCACCTGGATTCATCGTCGCAAGGAACTGGAAGCCGTTGCTCGCAGTGACAAATGAGTTGTCGATGCCTTTCTCAGCGAGAAGTAGGGTGCGCCCAGGCTCGAGTACCGAGTTCAACCTCTCAAGGACAGAATCGTCGGCAAGCGAGATCTCGTCAAGGAGGAAAAAGTCACCAGACTTCATTGAGTTGACAAGACTGCCGTCGGACCACTCGAAAAGCGCTTTGCTCTTCGTCTCCAGAGCAGTAATGCTCTCCAGCACGGCCGCGTCCACAGTCGACAAGACATCTGCAGGCAGCTCGCGATAGGCCTGCATGAGCTCGTCAAAGCTACCGGAAGAAGGCTGGCCAACGCGACTGAGGAGTGTGGCCAACTCCGATTTCAGTGTATCCGAAATTGCGCCTCGGTTACGAACCGGCCGTTGAGAACCGATGAGGTCGCCAGTCTCGGTGTTCTGGTGAGCGTTGACAATGTGAAGCTCCTTTCCCAACGCCTCGGCAAGCATTTGGCAAACGGTCGTCTTGCCACAACCTGTATCGCCAACCAGCAGCACGGGCTCGTTGTTGCGGAGTGCGTAGTCGACCAGGGTGTAGAGACGTCGCATGGCCCCTGTCCACACCACGCCCTGGCTGTTCTCGCCAGACTTGCCCTTGCCCGTGAACATGGTCGAGTAGAGCTGCTCCGGGTCAATCTTGACCTTGAAGACCTTCTCGATGATTTCCTTGACGGCGATGCGCTCTTCATCCACGCGGACACGTTCGGCCAGGAGCATGAAGCCGTTGATGGCAATCTGCTCGCGATCCTCGGCGCTTCTCTGAGTCCAACGGAACAGGTCTCGGAGGGTGGCGAAACTATCCTTTTGCTCGAACATCCTGCTCGTCTGTCGCAGACGAGACAGCTCCTTGTAAACTGTCACTATACGCTTGCAGTCTGAAGGAGCAGTGTTCCGGCTCCTTTGTTGGAGGATGTACTCCAATTCATCCTCGGGGATATCATCGTAGTGCAGCTCCAGGAATCTGTTGCGGAAAGCCCGGGACAGTGCTTTCCGGCCTCCGTAAAGACCAGGCGGGTTCTGCGTCGAGAAGAGCATGAAGTTCTCGTGCGGTCGCACGATCTCTTGCGTCTCTGGGATAAGAAGCTCGCGGTTGTCGTCCAGTAGACGGTTGAGTGCCTCGAGGACATCAGTGGGCGCAAGGTTGAGTTCGTCGAGCACGATCCAGTGGCCTTGGCGCATGGCCTGGACGAGGAGTCCTTCCTGGAAGCGCAGCTTTCCGTTGGAGTCTGAAGCATAGGTTCCAAGGTACTCTTGGAGGTCCGTGTGCTCGTGATTGTTGATGCGCACAAACTTGTTGCCCGTAAAGTTGGCCAGATATTCGATCATACTAGTCTTTCCGGCGGACGTAGGACCTTGGATGAGGATGGGAAATTTTCGCGTTGATGTGGCGCGAACAAGGTTGAGCAGGTTGCGCTCAACATAAGGGGTGATGATGTAGTCGGATCGCTCTTGCGGTTCAAGAGCGCCCTGCGACAGCCAATAATGACGGTTCTTGGCTTTGTTGACGAATCGAACATACTTCTTTCCGTCATCCGGGTGCGTAGGGGGCTTCGAGAGGAGGGACTGAGGGTTGGAGATTTGGCCGAAGAGGCGGTGGTCGATGAGTGGCATGAGGAGCTTTTCAGAATCGCGGTTGAGGAGGGTGAGGAAGCCCATAGAGAAGCCTTCGTACAGGGCTCGACGAAGGCCGTAAAAGGGCGCAATGTGGTTGACATAGGACAGCACGCGGGTCAGGGTACGTAGGCTGAAGTGTGGCACCTCGTTGGCACCGTCCACCAAGCTTTTTTCTTCTGCCCGAAGCTTGGTATCGAGGTAGAGGCGGGCAATGTCATCGGCTGCCTTATCGTCGCGAGTCCCAGAGCCCTTGAGATACGTCTTCACGATGGTCAAGAGATCCTTGACGTCGCGATCCGGACTGTCGACGTAAATCTCGGTAAATCTGGATCGGATGCCAATGGGCAAATCGCGCTTGCCAATGTCCGTTGCCGGGTTCATGGCACCGAACATGCGGAAATTCGGGTGCGCCTTTATCCTCTGAATCTCACCCGTTTCTGATAGGAGGATGGATGGCGTCTCGGCTGGGCCGGTCAAAAGGTCCGCGATGCTCTCAAGAGTGTCAGGGGAGGCAAGGTTGATCTCGTCCAGGAGGACCCAGTCTCCGTTTCTTGCTGCCTTGACAATATTGCCCTCGACAAACGAGAAAGCGAAGGCTCCAGAGCCTCCGGACATTTGAATCTCAAACTGGTCAAGGCTGCGAGTGAAAGCATCCCAGCGCGGCTTCAGGTCAAGGAGCCTCTGTAGTTTGGACTCGGTCTTCCGCCTCTTGGTCGGCTGGTCCTCGCCGTTGCGAGCTTCTCTTTGCTCGTTCTCCCGCCTCGTCAGCTCTTCGACAATCTTGATGAACATCTTTGGCGCTTGCCTCCATTGTCTGGAAACTCTGGACCAGTCGCCTTTCGCGAAAGTCTTTCCGAGAAGTTCCAGGTAGGCCTGGTTCTTCGTGGCCGATATTCCCGTTGCGGCGAAGAGATCTTCAAACTCTTCCATCAGGGGCACCGCAAGACTCCGCACATTAACCGGCTTGAAGCCTCCCAACAAATCACCGACTTCGCTTTGCTGTGATAGGTTGACTGCGATGAGCTTGTGGCCGAGTGTGTCGGCAAGCTGCTGGATCACAGTCGTCTTGCCGATACCCGTCTCACCGACGAGCAGTACGGGTTCGCCAGACTTGACCGCAACAGCCGCCTGCTCCAGCAATTTCTTGGCGTGAGTCGTATTCGCGAATGGCCTCTTCGACTTGACAATCTTGCCAGAACGGTCCTTCTTCTTTCGGAGCTTGACTCGGCCGATGCGGAACTGATCGGGGCCGTCCTCAAGTTGCGGGATACTAGCTTCGAGGTAATGCTCTACCCGCTCCTTGGACATGTGCCACTCCTCGGCGATCTGGAAGGTGATATGCTGGCGTGCCTTGGCGTCAGGTATCCTGGATACGAAACAATCAACTGCTTCCATGAACATTTGGTCGCGTGTTGTGTCGCTGATGGGTTCGTCGCCCGTCGTGCAGTTGGCGTCCCCAAGAAGGCTCGCAAGCCGACGACACCATCGCAGCAGGTCTCGGGAACTTGGTTGACGGTCAAGCAAGCTTCGGTTGAATGAGCTGCGGCTTGCTCCCGACACCGAGTTCGTCAACCTCCTGAAAACAGCCATAATTTCGGAGGCGAATCGACGCAAAACGGGGTACGTGCCCACGATGATGTCGAGGAATTCGGCTTCAGACGGGATCTGGATCGATAGCTGTTGCCAGAAGCGAAGACCGAGGAGGTTCGGCAGCGTTTCGCGCCCATGCATGCCTTTTGTCGTCCGAACGGTGGCAAACAAACGAAACTCGCTCGAGGCCTCAATGGTCTCGCCTCGGCTGGGAATGAGGAGCTGACCGCGTTCGATCAGCGGCAAGAGGGTACTGATGACTTCGTTGGGGGCCCGATCCAGGTCTTCGATGAGAACCCATCGACCCTCCCTGACAGCTGTCGTCAGGACACCAGGTCGCCACGAGAAGCTTCCTGGCTTCGAGTCTGCCGCGTAAAGCCCCACCAGCATCTTCGCATCGGTCTGTTCGTTAATATGCAGAGTCACCATTCCGGAGTGTTTCCCGAACTCCTTGGCGAACTCGTGAATGACGGAGGTTTTGCCGGATCCGGGAAGTCCATGGAGCAGAATCGGTTTCCTGTCCTTCAGGAGGCCGGCTAGGCTTTCCAGGTTGTTTGATGTCGTCGTCGTGGGAACTAGAGAGGATGTGTTATGCGAAGGCGCGGAAGGTCGAGGGAGGATTGTCTGCCCGTAGCAGGCGACAAGAGGGGTCAGTGGTTGGGGAGGAATAGATGGGGCATCATCTTTCAGAGCCCTCTCGTTCCTCTCGCGACGTAAGGCATCCAGATTCTCCACACGTGCGTGCTCGTGCAGCGGCAAGAAGCCAAAGTCAACGTGTTGGCCATCAAAGTCTCCAGAGATGGCCGAGGCACCGACATGCTCCCGGATGAGAGCCTCTCGCTTGGCGTCTGCGGCGTGAACCTGCAGACAGAAGATCCGGATACACAGGTAACGCACGGCGAGATGCTCGTGAGCAAAGAGTGATTGCATTTGGGCGGGTGAGACCAGGATGGAGTAGGCGCCTGCATCAAAGCTGATCAGTCTCCATACTGCCAGTAGCAATCGCAAGAGCTCGTCTTGCTGGAGATTTTGCAGGCTCGCGAAATCGAGTTGCTGGAGCCCCAGCGGTTTGTTTGAGGTTGGTGATGAGCCTGAGCTCATGTAATGCCTGAGAAAAGTCGACAAGTAGGGCGCGAATCGCAGTACTCGCGCAAATGCAGCGAGGACGTCCGTCTGGGTCTTCGCATCGGTTGGGTTGAGGATCCATCGGGCACAGAGGTCAGGGAAAACATGCTCGAAATGGACGAAAAGTCGGCTTGTAAGTTGGGGTATGAGAGCCGCTTGAGACAGAACGTCTAGTAGGTTCGTGGAGGTGTGCTCTCGAATGACGGCGAGGATTTCCTGAGGCAGCTGCTCAAGGACAATCGCATCGTCCAGGAGAGCCGCCCTTTGCGGCGATATGTCAATCGTCGCCATGGTTGCGTCGATATCTAACGATATGTCGTCGCGATCAAGTCCTGGGGTCTTCTTTTTTCGCTGAGTATTTCCAACTTTTTAGCGGGTCCCTCCAGGATAGAACGGAGCCCGGCACCACCCACCTTCCGGGCCAATCAGATGCGCCGAATTCGGGCGTCGTAGCTTCACGCGACTCTCCAAGCTCGAAAATCTTCGAGCACTCACCACTCGTGTTGCCTATCCCGATCGAACGACCGACCTCAAGTCGCCAATCCACACACCAGCCATCGGCCCTCGCGAAAGCCATTGCGGACCACCACTCCCTCCACCTCTCCCCTCACCCAAATCAACACCACAATGGCCATGTCTTGCAGGTACGCGGCTCGCAGCTGCGCCCGTCAGCTGCGCACCGCCAACTCCCTCCGCGCTTCCGCCTCCTCTTTCCAGACCCGAACCCCTGCGACAGCGAGACGGCACAACTCGACCGAGGCTGCGCCTGCGGCAAACCCTAAGATTGAGACCATTGTCGACCAGATCAGCAAGCTCACTCTCCTCGAGACCGCCGACCTCGTCTCCACCCTGAAGGTATGCACACACGAGACCGCCGGACCCCCCATTGGCCTCGGACCTTTTTGACTTGCGAATGCTTGCTTACCGTATCGTCTCTTACCTCCCCTTCCAGTCCCGACTCAACATCCCCGACCTGCCTGTCGGTGGCTTCGCCGCTGGCCCTGCCGCCGCCGCCCCTGCTGCCGTCGAGGAGGCTGACGAGCCCGCCCCCGCCGCCGCCGAGAAGAGCGTCTTCAACGTCAAGCTCATGGCCTTCGATGCCGGCTCCAAACCCAAGGTCATCAAGGAGATCAAGAACCTGCTGGGTCTCAGCTTGGTGGACAGCAAGAAGTTCGTCGAGAGCGCCCCGAAGCTGATGAAGGAGAACGTGCCCAAGGACGAGGCCGAGAAGATTATCGCCACGCTGAAGGAGCTCGGCGCCACGGTCGAGATGGAGTAAACGATTCTGCCTTCCTCGCACAGCAACGATGAACTTCCAGGGACGAGAGGGCATCCGGTGGCATTCGATGGGAATGGGACCTGGACTACCTAGATGGATGTGTATTGAGTGTATAAACACCCATGTAACAATAACAACATGTACCCCCCAGTTTTTGTTTCATATTGCTTCCAAGGCGATCACTGTCACTGGGACACAAACAACGTGTGTGGCCGAATCGGCTGAATTGTAATTCTGCATCAGATGCACAGAGGGCTTGATGCCAAACCGCGCGCATAAGCAAAGGACAACCGTGGTATCTTGACCAGAGGGGGACACGCCGGCCCCCCCTTTTTTTTTCTCAACGCCCACCCACGCCTATGAGATGAGACCTCACGCCCAACGCCAAATTTTCACGTACAGATGAGAAAGCAACAGTCTAGTGAGAGGTACCGTTGCCATGGCCGCGGCCACTGGCGCCGTTCTGGTCCTTACGACCGTAGAGGTCATCCAGGCCGCGGGGTGTGTAGTGGGGGCACTGCTGAGCAACAGCCGCCTCACGGGCAAGAAACTCCTCGCGGCCCATCGTATGATCGTCCTCACCGAGGTCACTAGTCTCCTCCCAGAGGCGATCAATCTCGGCGTCGCGGTCCCGGATGGCCCAGATGTCCTCGCGGAGCCTCTTGTGGCGCTCGCGGTCTTCTTCGATGCGCTGCTCGATCTGGCGCTTGTCGAGCCCGGGGGCAGACGGGCGACCGGGTTTGGGGATCGTCTGGCTGGGGGGCATGTCGCCGAGGTCCTGGTCACCCTGGACAGGTGACGAGAGGCCGGCATCGTGAGCGCTGGTTTCGCGGTCCTTGAGGACCTCCTCGATCTGGACCACGACTTGGTTCTCAATGTGTCCCTTGTTCTCAAGACACTGAAGGACCTGCAGCGGATTAGTCACCACCGGACTCGTCACCCAGACGCGGCCGTGAGCCAACGCGGGGCACTCACCAGGCGGACAACCCTGACGTTCGCAGCGCCGGACGCATTCTCGGGAGCGACGGCGTCAACGATGCGGATGATGTCGCGCTGCATCATGGTGATGTAGTTGAGATGATTCTCTTTCTTGGCCATGTCCATGATGTGCTCGATGCAGAACATGATGTTGGCGCGCGTGTTCATGTTAGACTGTGTTTCAATGTCAGCAGAATGAATCTTTGCTATCGTCAAATGAGTTGGTCATACTCGCTCAAGCTGCTCGAGGATGCAGGAGTGAAGATCCTCATCCATGTCCTTGTACTTCATGGCGTACGCCGCAGCTTTCTGATGAGACACGACTGTCGCATTCAGATGCTGCAGCTGGCTGGAGAAGCGCATGCGCACCTCAAACGGATCAGCCATGGTGACGTTATCGGCAGATTCGGGCTCGAGATCGGTGCTGGAGGAAGTGTTGATGCTGTGGCGAAACTGGATCGAGGCAGGAAGGTCGACGAGCGGAGGCGGAAAACCAAGCAGAGGACTGATGGAGTCGTCTCGGACGAGAGAGCGAAGTCTGGGGCTCTCAATGATTCCCACAGGGCTGTTCTCTTCAGAAGACGCCATCTCGCTTTGCGATTGTCGATACAGCGGCTTCTTCAGGGGAGTAGTAGCGTATCATGTGGAGTACTAGGTGCGAATCACACATTCGCACGTGGGAAATAATTTTAACCCACCTCTCGAGACCAGCGGGGCAGTCGCGCATCACAGACAGGCCTTTCAGTTCACGCCTACCTGCTAAGTTTATCACTGTAGGGAGCATGATAGCATATAAGGTATTGTTAAGTCCTGACAAGCAATTCCGTCTAGGCAAAGTTCGTTTTTATTGAATCCACATCGTTTCGTACACTCATCATCGTTGGGGTACTCCGCCGCATGATGGGACACGCAACGTCTTCAAGACTGGATGCCCAAGATCTCATTCGTGATGAATGACAAAGGTGTAATTCTGTCCGACATTACTCTCTTGTCTAGAGCTCCTTGATTGAAGGAGCGGTTCACGCTACGAACTTCAAGGCACAGAGGAACTGGTCATGTGCATTTTGGCCAGTTTGAAATCAACCGCTTGAGGCCCTCGCTGCAAATGTCAAGTCAGATCGCACGAGCGAAGCTTCTCCAAGTGATCTTATAACCGATTTCGGGTATTGTAAAAATCGACATTTACTTTACCGCATTCTTCCAAAGGGCCATTATCAGACCAGATACAGGGAAAAAAAAAAGCCATGACCAGGCAATCACATCCGTCCTGACTCCCAGGTAAAGAAGCGAGCGTTCCTCACGCCCCTTCACGGCAATCCCGCCCCGGGGCCCAACCTCATATCCATTGCTCCAAACCATCCCGGGGATCATCTAGGCATCCTCCACACGAGCTTTTTTGCTCAACCCCTGGCCCTCTGCCTCGTCCACCGATTTCCTCTTCCCGTTGGAAGAGCTCGGGCCATAGTGCTTCTCCCACCTCTCATGTGCCGCCAGAAGTCGCGCGTACTCCAGCTCAACGCTGCCCAGGGCCTCGTTCAGCTTTTCGCGACGCTCGGGAAGATCGATCTGACCGAGGATGTCTTTGTTTTGACGATACACACGCTGCTTGGCAAACATGCGCCAGAGGCGATACTGGTGTGCCTCGGCTCGCGTAGGCTTGGCTTTTTTATCGACACCGAAACTGGGCTGCACGGATGCAGGGAGTTGTGACATGGTATGCATTTCGATCAACCGGGCAAATTGCCTCGGGGCGATCTTGGTTTTGCGGCGCAACTTGTCGAGAAGGTCCGAATCGACAATGTCACGAGGCACCGCCTTGGACGAGTCGTCGGGCACGTTGATGTCAGTGTTGATGCGGACCTGGGCGAATTCGGGAACGGTTTTCAGATATGTGAGGTCCGAAAGGTCTCGCATGTCATCGAAAGCCTCATTGGGGTCCTCGACAGTGAGCTCCATGGCCAGGGGGTTGGCAAGGTAGTACTCGAATATGCTCTTGTAGAGTCTGGCGCCAATGCCCTTGCCCTGGAAAGGCGGCAGGATGACAAACTGCGACAGACGAGTTCGACAGGGGAGATCAGTGATCTCGAAATCGCCCTTGGGAAGCTCCCAGTCGGCCGCAGGAGACGCCGGGGGTGAGGGCGCCTGGAAGTAGAAGAATCGGTATATGGTGGAGTATCCCACAAAGGTGTACGGTGATTGAGCTGCATCGTCGGCGACAGGTTGTTTCCTGTAAAGCAGGAAGACTGTCCACCGGGCGGCATCCTCCGGCACCTTCCACGGGTCTGCCGCCTCGGGGTCCCGGGCGATATAGGAGCCGCCCTCGATGAAGAGTGGTACGAAAATCTCGACTCGAGTGATCAGCTGATGAATAGCAGGATCCGTGAGGCTGCCTTTGCGGATCTCGTATGTTCCATCCTGGGTCTCGAAGCTCGTGTGGAGCTCTCCAGGTGGCTTCCATTCTTCCGTAGTCTTCTGCACACTGGCCTCGAAATCCTTGACACTGGAGAAGGCAACTGAAGCCCTTGGTTAGCAAAGGACCCTTCAACTAAGATGCTCATTTTCTGGACCAAACTCACTTGCTGGCAGATGCTCCTGCAAAACAGCCCTGATGTCTGTTGGCTCTGTGTCGCCTATAGCCTTGAATTTCTCTTTCGACGTGATCTGGACGTGAGGGCGCATATCGTTGGCGGAGTACCGAAGGTTGATCTTGAGCCCCTTGTAGCCAAAGATCTGCTCCTCATTGCCGAAGATGGGATATGTGAATCTCGGATTAAACGTGGCGATCGCTTTGAGGCCCGCATCGGTCGGCCTGACGAGGCCGATGTTCAGGGCATCGTTGGCATTCGCCGACCCTGCGGCGTGAGGTGGTTAGCGCAAGCAGGAAGGTGCATTTGGGAAATGCGACGTACATTCACCCTCCTCGGCCATGACGAGTTGAGAAGGGAAGCTTTTGTTGGTTGAAACTGAATGCTGAAGTGCTTGTCTTAGCAGCGATAGAAGGTACGACGTAAGCGAGTTCGGGTGGGCTTTGCTGCAGCAGGAATGGGTGGACGACCTAGAAACCTAAGCTCGCGATCTTGAGGTTGCCGGCGCGACGCGGTCGCGACGTGATGGAGATGGACCAGGGATAAAGTGGTTTCTGCTGATGTAAGGCGGTTATTATGGATCGAAAAGCTGGAAGCCCTGGACAAACAGAATCTCTGAAGGCATCTGGTACTGCGCTAATTTTCTCGCCTAGCATGCTTAGGCTGACACATCTTGGACCACCCCCATCCTGTTGTACAAGCCCGTCAGCACTGTCCTTCAGCTATCTCTGCACCCCGCTGGACGATGCTTAAAACAATGCCAAAAGGGGTCTTGAAGGCATGCTTGATAGCACCGTGGCTTCTTTGGAATCGGACGGCTTTCGAAGACCAGATTTTTCCTTTTGACAATAACATGTTCACCTCCCGGGAGCTGGCTTGCTAGCAGATGACAAGGATCAAGAGACCGAGCCCTCCCGATGAGGGTGTACGGGTGGGGGGCAGACCAAGGAGCCCGATTGAAGCTTAAGTACTAATGTCTCCGGCCTAAATTGTATCCTGTAAAGCCTATGGGGGTTCGAGCGGTTGCTTCGTTAATTGTTGATGAAGGATGGAGGATGGTGTACATGTGTCAATAATAGAAATGAAGTCTACAGGATGGAGAGCCCAAATACACACATTTGTCCTGGCCAACACCATGGGATGTCTAAATTCACGATTTAGATGCCAATCTGCTCAGGGAAATCTGGAGGACAATGTTGGCTGAAATGCCGGCTGAGATCAACGACCACACAGCGTCACTGGTAGCCACCTTTGGTTTGATTGGGAATCACCCAAGAAGATGCTCGAAAATCGGCCTTTGATTCTCCTCTGATCGGTCAAGCTGCACCTCAGCACAAGAGGTCAACTACCTTGATAGACTTGATGGAAGCGAGGCCCCAGCAGCCATCGAAACGAGTGGGGGGTTGGTATGGGGGCGTTCGTGGCACTGACTGGCGTTGTCTTGGCTGCAGGGTCCAACGCGCGGTTGCGACCGCTCCAGCCCCATTTGGGCAAGTCCAACAGTTCCGAGTCCCTCAAGGTGTTCCATTCCACAATGCCGCATTGGATCCTTCGAGGTACATCATTCTCGAGCTCCCGCCTCTTTTCCTGTTGGCTTGACTGTCCCTAGCCGTGCTCGATTGTCTCTGCTTCACCTTGACTCAAGTCAATCAACCAGCACCTGCAGCTCATCCGCAGATCCGGCACCATGGGCGGGCTGTTCTTGTTACTCGTGCTCTGCGTAGGTACATCCCGAAGCAAACCCTCCAATCAAGCCTGGAGCAAGATCTAGCGATGCTGACACGAAGTGACAACAGGCTGTCATGGCCGTCGCGTAAGCCCTCCGTCCCTTTCGAAGCAGCCGCCGTCTTCCGACTTGACTGACCACAGGACGCAGCTCGTTTCTGGCCGGCTCGCTACCTCTCGCCGTCTCTCTCACTCCATCACAACTCCGACTAATATCGAGCTTGGGCATTGGTATTCTAGTAGGCACATCCATGATTGTGATCATCCCAGAGGGTGTCGAGGCGGTCGTCGCATCAGGCGTCGGTGCCCACGCGCATGCGCACCGTACAAGAGGCCTCGCGCAAGCCCTCAACAGGCGTGGGGAGCTGGGCGTGCGATTGACGTCAGCAGATGCCGTCACGACCTTCGACAATGATAAGCAAGCCGAGCTGATGGACCATCTTCGAGCCCTGGCGGCGAACGAGGCCCAGCACTACCGAGTGCTTCCGCGGGATGGGCCGGCAGAACACACCCACGACCACGATCACGCCGAGACAGGCAAAGGCGAAGAACATGCTGGCGAAGAGGAGGGGCCGGAGGTGTCTGGCTTCCATATCGGGCTGTCCATGGTGCTCGGCTTCGTCCTGATGTTCCTCATTGACAGGATTCCTCGACATGCGACCGAAGGCCGCACGAGCGAGCCGCACATGCGACACGTCAGTCTCGACAATCTCGGCACAAACCCAAACGGCGACGCAGAAGCGGATGGCTTTCTCGGTGGCCTGACGCAGCCCTCGAAGGATCCGCGCAGCTTTGCGACGACAATCGGCTTGGTCATACATGCATGCGCCGATGGCATCGCCATGGGCGCGGGCGCGACGACCTCGGACACGCAGCTGGGCCTCATCATCTTTATTGCCATCATGCTCCATAAGGCCCCGGCCGCCTTTGGTTTGTCTTCGGTTCTGCTGAAGCAGGGGCTCTCTAAGCGGGCTGCTCGGACGCATCTGATCGTCTTCAGCCTGGCTGCGCCGTTCGGTGCTCTGTCTACGTGGGCTATCATCACCGTGCTTGGCGGTGGGCAGCTCGAGGGCCCGTCGGGAAAGTGGTGGACGGGCATGCTCCTGTTGTTTTCTGCCGGCACCTTCCTGTGAGTACCAAATCAGCGGCAAGAAGCTGACCATGATCCACGATGCTGACAAGCAGTCTAGGTACGTTGCAATGCATGCCATGCAGGACGGCGATGGCGGTCACCAACACGCCCCCGCTGGCTACGCAGAGGCTGGCGCCAGTGGCCAA